TCCCCAAAAAAAAAAAAAAAAAAAACTAAAACAAACAAACAAACAAAAAAACACTTCTCCCCAATTCCATCTTATTCCTGAGATTTCCCTTATCAGCCTTTGCTGAAGGTGTAGCATCTGCGTCCAAGGATACTGACAGGCTTATTGGAATGAATGTGATTGGTTGGATCGTGGAAAAGGCCAGTGGTTTCATGTGACACTGTAATTTACCTTATCATAATTAGTGCTGTGAGTGTGAGTAGTTCACTTTAGTTGTGACCTGACTTCTGAGGAGGGGAGATGGCTGTAGAGGTCTTCACATTTGTCGATGAAGAATGGAAAATACCATCACTGCAGATAAAAAACTCTTTCTGTTTAGACAATTTTATTAGCAAGACACGTTTACCCTTTTCAAAGAAGTAGCTTTAGATTATCTATAATTTTTTATTATATTTCGTTGTGTGTGTTTTGGTGTGTGCTTGGCACAGCATGTATATGGCAGTCAGAGGAAAACTTGTAGGAATCAGATCCTGGGGATCAAACTTGAATCTTCAGGCTTAGCAGCAAGCACTTTTACCTACTGAGCCATCTTACCTGCCCTAGATTGTTCTTATTGGTAGTATACTCTATCAAGTGTATCAATGTCATGTTATCTGCTTTACCTTATCAAATTCTCACAGCATCTGAGATACAACTTCTAGTTTGAAAGTGGCAGTAACTCATCTGTTTTGTTTTTGTTTTTTTTTTGTAAAGCTTTTGCCTTTCACCCTGTCTTAGTCAGGGTTTCTATTGCTGTGATAAAACACCATGACCAAATGTTCATTACTGAAGGAAGTCAGGACAGGAACTCAAGGTAGGAACCTGGAGGCAGGAGCTGAAGCAGAGGCCATGGAGGGGTCCTGCTCACAGGCTTCCTCCTCTTGGCTTTCTCAGCCTACTGTCTTAGAGAGCCCAGGACCACCATCTCAGGGATGGCATCACCCACAATGGGCTGGGCCCTCACCTGTCAGTCACTAATTAAGAAAATTCCCTACAGGATTGCCTACAGCCCAGTCTTCTGAAGGTATTTTCTTAATTGTAGCTCCTTTCTTTCAGATGACTTTAGCTTGTGGCAAGTTGATATGAAACTATCCAGCACACACCCTGTTCTCTTTAGAGATGGATGACTAAGGAATAGAAGTTCTGGCCTTTGGAAAATTTGTCACCTAAATGGGATTTTAAGAAATTCCATGTATGTACAAAGAAATATACAGGACAAATGAAACATAAAATTATAAATTATGGCCCTAGATGTTGAGACTCTACAGTCCCAGAAAGGCTATTTAATTTAAAAGAGGGTGTCTTTAAGTAGGGTGGTAGGCTATAATGAGAATGTATTTAAAATTAAGCAAGTCTGGATTTTCTGGTCAGATACTCTGCTTGAGAATCAGGAACATGATTATTATCAAAGAGCCTGGTGAAGCCTGTGCGGCATTTTTATGTTTTTAGATTTGTTTTTATGTATTTGGGTGTTTTGCCGGCATCCATGTCTTGTACCATGTGCATATAGTGCTGGTGAAGAGCAGAAGACGGTCTTAGATTCCCTGGGATGGGAGTGTATTGATAGTAGCCAGCTGTTCTATGGGTGCTGGAAACCAAACCCAGGTCCTGTGCAAGAGCAGCAAGTGCCCTTAACCACTGAGCTCTCCTAGCTCCTGAAATTACAACTTTTAAAAGTGATTCTGTAAAAATGTAAATACCCTTGACTAATTAAATTAAATGATGTGTTTGACTTGACTCCAAACACTGTTTTAGTTGATTGATTGTGTTTACATTTGTTTTAGAAAGATATTTGTGAACTGGAACTTTCTAGATTATTTCATAAGGATGTGATAAGTTATTTGAGGTCAAGTGGGCAGATTCTACAGCAGGGTGGCTGAGTGTATATCCTTGCTAAGATTTAGACACTTTGTGATGATCTTTTATTAAAAGTAGGTTTCTCAGGGCTAGGGATCTGGCTCAGCCTTTAGGAATACTGGCTGCTCTTGTAGACGACTTGGGCTCACTTCCCAATACCTGCATGGTAGCTAACAACCATCTGTAACTCCAGTTCCCAGGGATCT